TTGATGAAACTCAAGTTAACGCATGAAACACTGCATGTTATTAAAGTGTAGCACCCTGCTAGGGTAGGATACTGGGTAACTCTAATTTTTGGCTCCTTTTGTTGTCAAGGGAGCAGTTTGCTCTGGTCTATACAGGGTTTCACACGCTGAGAGTTTGACTGCTTCCCCCTGCTTCTAGAAGAAGTTTCCAGATTATGGGCCTGGGACAGTCAATTAATCGGTCTGAATAATTATCATGCCCTGGCCAATCCCTGGAGAGGACTGTTCAGAAGGTGGCTGCGGGTGTGATAAATAGTTTAGAGCCCAGGTGAGATTGTTCTTTCTTCCTCAGGGAGAGTTCCAAAGCCTCTGGGGCAGCCTATGGACTGCGTATCTGTTCTTTGCTGGCCTATGGGATCTGGTCTGGAGAAGGATTGTCTCCCTCACTGGGAAATGTCTGGAGGAAGCTGGATGGTGTACAGCTGTCCTGGGGACTTGTGAGTACTGACCCTGAATTGTGATCCCTGGTGACTGTGAGATGTAAGTGCCAGAGGAAGCTATGGATTGAGATGGCTCTTATAGCGTATCAGAATACTGGCAATTCCCCTGTGTCCTCAGCAGAATCCATATATGGGAGCTTGGGGAAGAGTGTCTTCCTGTTACTGGGCAGAATTTTGGAGTATCATATGCCCTAACCCTTTTCCTGTTTAAAGTTCTTCAAAAAGACATCCCCTAGACTGAGTTATTGGAGATGGTGTGCATAAACTGGTGCTTGTGGCCTCTATACCAGCCTTTCCCAACCTGTTCAACATGGAGGAACCCTGGAAAAAACCATTCGGTCTAAGGGAACCCTTGCTAAAACTTACTATATCTGCATGAGCTGGTGCTTGTGGAGATGGGTGGCCTCTATACCAGCCTTTCCCAACCTGATCAACATGGAGGAACCCTTGAAAAACCTCTTCGGTCTAAGGGAACCCTGGCTAAACGTTACTATATCTGCATGAACTGGTGCTTGTGGAGATGGGCGGCCTTTTATACCAGCCTTTCCCACCTGTTCAACATGGAGGAACCCTTGAAAAACCCCTTCAGTCTAAGTGAACCCTTGCTAATAGTTACTATATCTGCATGAACTGGTGTTTGTGGAGATGGGCGGCCTCTATACCAGCCTTTTCCAACCTGTTCAACATGGAGGAATCCTTGAAAAACCCCTTCGGTCTAAGGGAACCCTTGCTAAAAGTTACTATATCTGCATGAACTGGTGCTTCTGGAGGTGGGCAACCTCTATACCAGCCTTTCCCAACCTGTTCAACATAGAGGAACCCTTGAAAAACCCCTTTCGGTCTAAGTGAACCCTTGCTAAAAGTTACTATATCTGCATGAACTGGTGCTTCTGGAGGTGGGCGACCGCTATACCAGCCTTTCCCAACCTGTTCAACATGGAGGAACCCTTGAAAAACCCCTTCGGTCTAAAGGAACCCTTGCTAAAAGTTATTATATCTACAACCCATTATACATTAGTGTATAATGTACATTATCTGCCTATATTTTTTCGACAACTGGATGATTTCAACATGCAGTCCAAGGTTTGTAATAGGTTTAGGTCTTCATAGGTCTCTGAGGTTATCTTTTTGCACCGCAGCTTTTCAAGTCTTTCTGCTGGTGTTGAATGTGATGCAATTTCCTGTCTATACAATTCGATTTTTTGTGATGAAGTCCCCTTTTTCGTTTTTTTTTTACATTTGCACCAACCACATACAACGTGTACAAGATCGCTTTCTAGGCTGACACGTAGACCCGTACAAGAACATTTAGAATTTTTATTTCATGTTTCTTTTTTATTTTTTTTGTTACAAATTGTACATTCAATGTCTTTATAAAAATGCAGATGACGCCAGTCCTTACGCAGGGACAAAAGGTTATTGACTCAAGTGAGCAGCACAGCCTGTGGGTTTGGGGTGGGGGAATTGCGCTTATAATGAGGGAAAATGAGGGTGCAATTCTGTGATTCGGGATGCTGTGTACATTTTGCATGGTACACAACCTTACAATTTGTCTTGGGTGCTCATTACCTACTAACTAAATTGCAATCCAAAAAGGTAACAAAATCACATATGTTCATATATATATATATATATATATTTTTGTTTACTGTGGATCTGTTGCAAGTGAGCCTTCAAGTGTACATTGTTGGACAGTAAGGGTTGGTAGCTTGGCCTTGGAGTGAGGCATTTTTTTTTTTTTTTAGGAAGGAGGATGGTGCAGCTTCCAAGATGCTCTCTGATCAGGTAGGAGAGATATCCCCCCAGAGAGAGATTATAATCCACCACATCTTCCCTAGGACCTATTGGAGAAGACCCAGCAGGAAACCATTCTTTTGTCAAGGTCACTTCAGCTTACAAGTAATGCTAGCATAGCATCAACCTTTGCGTTTACAAAAACAAAGTATGTATGCAAATTAAATATACACTATATTAAAGTTTGTGAACACCAAAACTTCACACCTACTGGATATATACCATTCCAAAACCATGACCATTAGTATGGATTCCCCCCTCCCCCCTCATTTACAGCTTATACCAGCCATCATTCTGCAGGGAAAGATTTTCACAAGATTTTGGAGGATGTCTATTGGAATTTCGGCCCATTCTACCAAAAGAACATTTGCAAGGTCAATTGATGAGAAGTTTGCAATTGGGGTTCCAATTCATCCCAATGGTGTTCAGTTGGGTTGAAGTCAGGGCTCTGAGTCAAAGATCCTCTACACCAAACTGATTAGGCCAACTTGATCGAGTAGAGTTGGCCTCGTAATAAGTGATCTAATTCATTCCAAGTGTTCGATAAATTTGAGGCCTGGGTCTTCTGCAGGCAACACGAGTTCCTCCACAACAACCTCATCAAACCATCTTAATAGAGCTGGTTTTGTGCATAGGGGAAGAGTCATGTCGGAACTAAACGTTTTCCTAAAATGTTGCCACAACGTTGGACTCTGACTCTGCCCCTATGCACAAAACCAGCTCTTTTAAGATGGTTTGATGAGGTTGTTGTGGAGGAACTCATGTTGCCTGCAGAAGGCCGAGGCCTCAAATTTATGGAATGAATTAGATCACTTATTACGAGGCCAACTCTACTCGATCAAGTTGGCCTAATCAGAATTGTTAAAAAATGTTTTTGTATACTTGAGTACTAACAATACCCCTGATTGGAAACCCCAAACCCAATCATTTGACTTTTGGCCATATAGTAGGTATGATAGGGTGTTTACAAACTTTTGGCCGGAAAGTGTACATTTTATACATTTTCAAGTCTTGGTGATCAAAGAATTACTTTTTTAAAAAGTACTTTTGAAGGACACTAGCATGGCTCTTGAAACTTTACTGCTAGCTCCAAACATACTCCATAGTTTGATGACTAGATATTTAATACAATTCTTACTTTCATAATTATACAGCAAATGTTGGCAGTGTTAAAATGAGCCAAAGGAGGCCTACAGTGTATCCATGTATACTTTGGAGTACCAGTGTTGGTTGGTAAGATGTAGTTTGTTCACAGATAGGTTTACTGGTAATGTCTTGGGGTTGGGGAGGTCATCAGTCTTTTTTTTTTAAAGCACTGGGGAAGCAAGCCAAAGCAAAGAAGGGGAACAAAATTAATCCAAGGCACCCAATGTCCTCGATCTGCCCATTACGGCCTCAAAGGAGCAAAAATCTCAACAGTGTACACGTGTGGAAAGCTGAGATGCTCCACAAGATAAAAAGCACCGTTGCAAAAAAAAAAAAAAAAAAATAACCCCCTCAGTGACAAAATAATCACAGACTTGTGTTGCTACAATCTCACTGTTCATAATACTAGGTTGAAATAAGGCACACATGTACACAGACTATCCATTGAGCTAATTGGATTTAAAATGGGGGCAAAGCCACAAGGCCAAGCGTGTCTCCATCTTGGCCACCTCCATCCGACCTTTCATGGTTCAAACAAGGAAAAAGAGTCAACCCCATTCACTTTAAGCACACAGTGCTTATAGGTTGGCTGTTCTACGTCACCCTCAACTCAAACGATCTTGAGTTGTAGCCAGTCACCAGTGATTTAAGGAACAGCCAGTACGGGTCAGTTTGTTGCGATACTGATGTGGTGAGAAAATTATGGTGCTGCGGTCTGTCTTTGTTACCTACACATGACTGGATGGGTCACAAGGGTGTATTAGCTCAGGCACCATCATTAAATTTTTTCTTCATCTTTTTTCAGTCCATACATTTCAGAATTATTAATATAGAAGTTAGTTTCTTGCTCCTACACAGTAGGGTAAAATAAAACCTCCGTTTATATGGAGTTAGATTGTGAAATATATATATATATATCTTTCTATATATACATAGATGTATATATAAATTAATTTACATTTGATCTATTCCTCTTGAGGTATCCATTCATGTCAACCAAGTTTGCCATTAAGTTCATGAGAGCCAGGTTCATGCTCTTCATTCAGGGCCTGCTTAGGCTCAGGGACACAGGTTCGTTTATTGGAGTTATCCATTTTTAAGGATGACCTATGATGTTGCTTGACTTATTTGCCTCACTAAGTGCTGCCCATCTACCAGAAAATGGGACTTACTCTTCAGGATCCAGGCACATAGTTGATTGCAGGCCACTGGATGTCATCATGTGAAGGACATCTGCTCCCACTAAAGGCTTTCAAAGTTAGGTAGAATACTTGAATGTTAACATTAAGTCATCTGCCTTCGAAATGCTTTCCACAGGTTCTCCAACATAGAACAAGGCAGTTCAAAAATGTGTTGGTGGCATAGATTTGTTCATTGTTTCCCAACACATAATAGTCCTTTTACGCGACACTCATATTTGCTGGAGATGACGTGACAGTAGATATTAGTTCTATGTCGCTGCGATCAAGGAAGTTTCAGAACACCAAGGCAAAGTTCACAGCATCGTTTTTCACATTTTGTCAACTGAGTTTAGAGTTGTCTTAAGTGTCCTTTGGTTGGTAGAGCAGCCAAACATGTGTCTTAATACTGAAACTGATTTGCATCCTTTATGGGGGATGATGGGAGAAACACAGGGGCAGATGATACTTCTGGTCTCAAGGACAAGGTCCTTTTTACCATACCCCTCTGCATTGGAGTTTGCTCTGTGTAGCTATGCTGGCGGGAGATATAGACATTGTGGCTTTCCATTGGCACTGGGGTGCCTGTAGAGTGCATCCTTGTGAGAAGTGGTGGAGGATGTTGTCTGGTTGCTTGACCCAGGCTATGTTGCCTGGAAATCAGTGGTCCTGGACCTATGTTCATGAGTTTGTGCCCGGAGGATAGAGAATGTCTTTGAGAAGGGTGCCTTAACTGTTTCTCCACACAGGATTGAGGATTGACATCTGGTGGGATGTCCAATCTTCTGGGCAGACTGTCTCTGGGAAGAGTTGAGGAGCTGTAATAAGGAGCGCTTTCAGTGTCAGGAATTTGGGGCTGGACCCTGTTCATGAATGACATAGGCGAATGAGGACTGACAGCTTGAGGACTAAGAGCCATCATGCCAGACATTTTTCTTGGTGAGCCACCACCTTCCGGAAGATGTTTTAGAAGTTCATCTAGAGTTGTCACCTCAACCCCTTTGGGAAGATAGCACTGTGAATGACGAATCAGAGCCCTTTCACAGTTGGGTATCTTCTTATCATCTGCATAGCTAGAAAGAGGCTGATCGTACCCATGCATGCTGCTCGGGAGGGCAACTGTGCTAGGAAATTGAAAGACCTGGGAATTTGAGACAGGAAAATGGAAAACTGGACTTTTGCTTTGGATTTCTTTGGCATTGTTACAATTCTGATTTCTTTCCCATTGGTTTTTGAAGGCTTTAAGATTCTTCATTGGCAATTCTGGAGTGGATTCTGGGGTGGGGAGTCCAGATAGTTCAGGATGGTCTTTTGATCCAGTTTTGGTTGTTTCTGCTTGCTGCTCTTTGTCTCCATGCAGTAGGGTAGTGTAGAGCTTTGGCGAGGTTGCTTCCATTCCTTCCTTTGACTGGGTTTCTAAAAGTCCATTCATCTTTGCTAGGCTCCTCAAAGATAGAGGCCGTTGTAGATTGGATTCTGGGTCCTTCCCAATGTGCTTGTTCTTCTGAAACATGTGGTTACAGTAACACGACACAAAAAGGCCTGAGAAGATGGCTCCTATCACAAAGGCTACAAAGACACACCCGATGAGGAACGTGAAATGGACTGTCTTGGTGGAGTCATTGCCTGCAGCCTCCTGACGCACACCTTTAGAAGAAACAGAAAACCAAGGTCAGAAAAGTTTTTCAAAAAAATTATACAACCTGAATCTGTTTTAACAGTATAGCAAAAATGTCATCAGTTAGCACAATATTGACTTGCCATTCTATTCTACCCGCTAGTGTCCCTCCTTAACGCGCACCTTGTATTACAATTCACCTCCTTTCCACCATGCACCTAGGCCAAGGTGACAATCCAATCCTTCAAGCAAGAGATCCTGGGAATGCTGTAGAACCCAAATCTTGCAAAAAGACACTCCTGCACATCACAGAAACATGTTCTCACAAAATTTGGGATCCTCAGCTTTCCCAGGATCTCCCGCTGGAATAATTATTTTGCCACCCTTACCTAGGTTCCAGGGGTGAATGGGGTTAGCATATTTTCTAACTTTTCTCCACCGTCTCTTTTTGCACTTTTTAAAATCTAAATCCCTTGTGTTTTCCTCATCTCAAGTGTTTTTTCCCTTGACAACAGAAGTACGCATTTGTTCCCAAATTCCTGGCACATATTAAAGGTTGTTTACCAAGAAAGATTTCGGGTTTTGGAGATTATTTAGTATGGAAATAAGTGTTCATTTTATTCTCCGGAGAATGCAGCTCAAACTTAAGAAGAGACAGAAGAGACAGGAACGAGAGAGCACAGCTTTACTTATAGTGTGTCTGCCACCTACACACAGTGCAGGCAGCCATTATGTTTACTAGTTGCCACTCCTTCAAGAGAAGAACATCTTAGTTACTGTGTTTTTAGCAGAAAATTTGTAGTTTTTTTATAGAAAACCTTTTGTGTCCTCCCAGAACAGACCTTTTAAAAATGAAAATGTTTATCAATATCCATACAGGCTTCTGCCAACCTGGAAAATATCAAACAATGGACTTTGTCGCATGTTCATGCCTGTTCTCCATCCAGGTATGCTGCCGGTTATTTGGGTTCCTTCCCAACTGAGAAAGTACAAGTGCCCCAGTTTTCAACATGGCTGCCCAGCAGGACTAGGATGGTGCCTAGCAAGTGTCAGGAAAGTTTCTCTTGCTGCTCAAGATGACTAAGTAACAGATGAGTTATTAAATACCACCAAGGGACAAAGTAACAAGACCTTGCAGGTTCAAAATGAGTTAATGGCTGATTTGAAGCTTTGTTGCAATGTTATGAAAATGTGTGGGAAGTTTTAATATACTGTATGAGTAAGGCTGTCCTGATCATCTTACTTGGTTTATATCAGGGTTCTCCAAACCTTTTAAACAAAGGGCCAGTTTTATGTCCTTCAGGCTTTAGGAGGGCCAGACTGTGGCCAGTGGGAGTAAAAAACCTCATCATCAGTGAAAGTAAACAATTCCCCATCCATGATTTTAGTGGGAGGAATTGTGCCCCATTTTAGTATCATTGGGAGGAATAGTACTCCATCATTGGTTGACACCTATGGCATAGGAGGATGTAGTAGACATGGTGCCCCATCATTGGTGTCAGTGGGAGGAATATTGTTCAAAGGACCAACCAAAGCCGCATTTGGCCCCAGAGTTTGGAGACTACTGGCTAACATGGTTATGGAAGATGCCATCTGATTGCACGCTCTTGGATTTTTGTGACTGGATATGAAAGCAAAGGTCAGCTGACCCTTTACCTTGATCATAGTTACCACTGAAGACCAGCATGCCAGAATAATAAGTGACATAGCAGTAAGAAACATTCCGTGCAGAATTCAACGTTTCTTCAGAATTCATAGATATAAAGCCATGTGGAGTTATTTTGCCTGTTGCTTTTTGCCAACAAAAGTTGACCACTGAACAAAGACTACTACAGTAAGTCTACATTAAGCTGTCTTTGAAAACTGGTTGTTGAGGGATTACTAATCAGGCTTTGAGGTGTGCCAAGGTCTGGTTTGGAACTGGGGTTGGAACCTGTTAAGGACTGAGCCCACTTTGAAAACACAACTGTCTACTAGGAATTACCATCTCTGAGATATAATAGTCTGGCTATTTTTGGACCATGATGTAATCTTGATCTAACCTGCCAAACCAACGTCCATAAAATCAAAGCTTTCCAGTTCCTTTGAGAACACTAAAATTCTGTGAGTCAACACAATCACTTAGTTACCAATGGGCTGGTTAACTAGTAAAGTAGCAAGAACAATATGCTCTACAGGTCATTCCAACGTTGCATTTTAGTTTCAGATGGTTGATGACAGTAAGTTGAATCACCCAAGGATTCTCAGCTGATGGCTTGACTATCTTTTTTGACCTTAGAGTGTAATTCTGCTGGAATCTCCCGGAAGGAAATGAAAATTCAGTAACTATCGAAGCCTAGTAACACCAAAGTGATGGAACTATTTAGGAATTCTTTAGAGACATAGCCAGTCAGTGGGTGATTTGTCTTGAGACAGACCCAACACTTGTTTAAAGGCTATCTAAAGCCAAAACATGGTCAGATCCCCTGTTTGTGTTTGGCTGGGAAGATTCCATTTTCTTGCTGGCCTGGAGATACAATGGAAAGTAAATAAAAATGTTTTCAAAGTGAGAGGAACTCTTTTTGCTGTTTGTATTGCCACTGGAAAGATCCATTCATCTCTATTGTGCTTGGTGACCATTTTGATCTGGTTTTTTATTTGGTTTGATGGGAAATCTAAATCTTTATGGTTGTCACCAAAACCAGTGTTCCCTTTACTATGGTGACAACTTCAAAATTTTGGATTTCTCATCACTCCCTGTCCCTGTGACCATGGGAGACGCTAAATCTCCATGGTGGGGATAGACATCAGTAAAAACCCAAATGGAGATTTCAATTCTTCCCCACTCTACTTGTTGGTGCAGTGGCAGAAAGCACAGAGAGTTCTGGATCGAAAACAACGATGTATTGCAGAACTTGTAAAACAGTACAAACAAGCCTGGTGGGAAATCTCACCTGGCCGTGGCACATACAACAGTTCGGACCAGAATCAGTGGTATATGGGTCCAAGCTGCAGACAGCATTTGTCAAGGGGAGCAGAATGTGGCCTGGCTGGTCCAACCCCAAAGGGCCGGGGGTGGGGGGCTTCCTGAAGTGACATACATTGGTCCAACTCTTCTCCTCCAAAGCCTCTCCCTAGGGACAGGACTGTCCCTACATTAACCACTCGCATAAAGCATGCCAAAACTCAGGGAAGGGACTTAAAAAGACTGCATGACCCAAGATGGCCACCACAGTCACCCGGATCCAGCACCTTCAACCGGACCACTGCTCCAGGGGACCATGGAAACCATACAGAAACCCAGTTTCTCACGATTTCCTCCTCCAGTTGCATAGATTTGACTTCAGCTCTAAAGTTTTGGATAGGCTTGACCTTTAGCAAACAATCTTCTGCTCTTTTTGGAAATTATAATTTTGTCAGCCAGGAAGAGAACCATTTTGGCCTTTATTGAACAAGACCAGCTTCTCCAATAAGTCACCCAGGATGCGCTCAATCCAGTCACCTGGATCCAGCGCATCCAACCGGACCACTGCTCCAGGGGACAATGGAAACTATACAGAAACCCAGTTTCTCCCGATTTCCTCCTCCAGTTGCATAGATTTGACTTCAGCTCTAAAGTTTTGGATGGGCTTGACCTTTAGCAAGCATTCTTCTGTTCTTTTTGGAAATGCTAATTTTGTCAGCCAGGAAGAGAACCATTGTGGCCTTTATTGAACAAGACCAGCTTCTCCAATAAGTCACCCAGGATGCGCTGGATCCAGTCACCTGGATCCAGCGCATCCAACCAGACCACTGCTCCAGGGGACAATGGAAACTATACAGAAACCCAGTTTTCTCCCGATTTCCTCCTCCAGTTGCATAGATTTGACTTCAGCTCTAAAGTTTTGGATGGGCTTGACCTTTAGCAAGCATTCTTCTGTTCTTTTTGGAAATGCTAATTTTGTCAGCCAGGAAGAGAACCATTGTGGCCTTTATTGAACAAGACCAGCTTCTCCAATAAGTCACCCAGGATGCGCTGGATCCAGTCACCTGGATCCAGCGCATCCAACCAGACCACTGCTCCAGGGGACAATGGAAACTATACAGAAACCCAGTTTCTCCCGATTTCCTCCTCCAGTTGCATAGATTTGACTTCAGCTCTAAAGTTTTGGATGGGCTTGACCTTTAGCAAGCATTCTTCTGTTCTTTTTGGAAATGCTAATTTTGTCAGCCAGGAAGAGAACCATTGTGGCCTTTATTGAACAAGACCAGCTTCTCCAATAAGTCACCCAGGATGCACTGGATCCAGTCACCTGGATCCAGCGCATCCAACCGGACCACTGCTCCAGGGGACCATGGAAACCATACAGAAACCCAGTTTCTCCCGATTTCCTCCTCCAGTTGCAAAGATTTGACTTCAGCTCTAAAGTTTTGGATGGGCTTGACCTTTAGCAAGCAATCTTCTGTTCTTTTTGGAAATGATAATTTTGTCAGCCAGGAAGAGAACCATTGTGGCCTTTATTGAACAAGACCAGCTTCTCCAATAAGTCACCCAGGATGCGCTGGATTCAGCCAGACCACTGCTCCAGAGGACCATGGAAACCATACAGACACCCAGTTTCTCCCGATTTCCTCCTCCAGTTGCATAGACTTGACTTCAGCTATAAAGTTTTGGATTGGCTTGACCTTTAGCAAACATGTCGCATTAAATTAAACAGCTAAAAACCCAACTCGTCAAATCTCTCTTCTTATAAAAAGTCTTACGTTTTACTAACTCAAGCATTCTAATAAGCCATTGAGCCGGCTCTTCCGCGTTGTCCTAGGTGACTTATTGGAGAAGCTGGTCTTGTTCAATAAAGGCCACAATGGTTCTCTTCCTGGCTGACAAAAATTAGCATTTCCAAAAAGAACAGAAGAATATTTGAAAAGAAATGAGACTTCAACCTTGGCAAGCTTTCCTTTTCAAAATGTGAGCGGCGACTTCCGTTCCCTCACGGGGGTTTCTGATGTTAGCTAATGCAAACCGGCCTTCCTCCCTAAAGGCCTCCTAGCTGAGGGCCTCAGACAACTT